TCAAATGTATAATTTTGAAAAAAGTGTCTATTTAAAATATACAGATGAAATCTTGGCTCCATACGGTAGAAGTCAATGGCAACACTCCCATTGACTTCAATGGAGCCAGGATTTTCACCCTAAATGTTCACAATTGCACAATTTAGTCCCAATTCTGCAAACCATTGCTAAAAGGAAAAGTAGTATTAGGAAACTATTTCATATATTTTTTGTCTTTTAATGCTATTTAGTATCTGTGCACAGAACTCTCATTGACCTTGATGCTGCAAACACTTATGCCTGTGAGTAACTACCAGTACTTTCACCTGCTGATAGTTATTCACAGGTCTAAGTGTTTTTGGGATCAGGCACACTGATGTTAGCTGGAGTCCCATGAGTGCAATCTGAGACCATTAATCAGATTAATGATCAAAGCAAACCTGTTTATTTTGTTCCTTTTCTTGACTTCATCATAAGTCAATTACAGTTTTTAGAAACACAGTGTAAGGAACATATTCTATTGGCAGCTGAGAAAGAAAAGGGTGAAGAATAGCTTTGTGGCTAAAGCACAGAACTGAGTGTCAGGAGACCTGTATACTTTCTCTAGCTCTGCTTCAGACTTCCTTTGTGACCTTGGTAAGCCAGACAGAGGCAAATCCCTCCTCCTTCTCAGTGCAGAGGATCCTGCCTACGACAAGAGAAAATTGGTTCCCCTATGTGTGTATCTGTATGTGGTGAAGCAACACATTTGGACAGCCTAAACAAGGTATGTATAGCCCTGTGTGACACAGGTCCATGAGGACTTTCTGTGCAATTATGCAGATCCACTGGCCATTGCCCTACAGGGCAGGAGGTATATGTTGTGGAAACTACTCTAGCTCTAAGGATAACAGTGTGACACTCTGCTTGGGCAGTGTTAGGACAAGATCTCTAAAAATAGGAACAATAATACCTACCCCCACAGGGAGTAGTGATTAAGTTCCCCAGATGCTAACAGATATTAAGTTCCCCAGATGCATTTTGCCATAGAATGGTAAGGTATTATTCTTATGGGATCAAATCCTCAGCAATGCTGAGAAAGAAAAATTGATGTCTTGTTTCTAAATCATTATGTCCTGAGCATGTGTAGTAGTGACTTTTCTTTATGTTCTTTAATTCAAAATTAATTCTACATCCAAGATAAGGAATATGAATATTCTTAAAACTGGTTATGCAAAATAAGTACTGATTATATGCAGTGTGTTTTTGTAACCCACACACCTTCTGGGTGTTCTGTCCCATCTAGTGGCACTGAGACCACTAAGAGAGAGAGAGTTAAATAAGGTTGCTCTACAGCCTTAGTTAACAGCCAGTTGGCTTTTAGCTCATGCGGTAGAGCAGGGGTGGCCAGCCTGAGAAGGAGACAGAATTTACCAATGTACATTGCCAAAGAGCCACAGTAATACGTCAGCAGCCCGCCATCATTTCCCCCCGCCCCACTCCCAGCACCCCCCACCCACCGGCAGCCCCACCAATTAGCGCCTCCTCATCCCTCCTCATCAGCTGTTTGATGGGGTGCAGGAGGCGGAGGCGGTGGTGGCAGCCAGGGGGGGAGAAGTGAGGGCACAGTAGGTTCAGGGGAGGGGGCGGGAAGGGGTGGAGTGGGGGCAGGGCCTGTGGCAGAGCCAGGAGTTGAGCAGTGACCACCCCCCAGCACATTGGAAAGTTGGTGCCTATACAAGGAGCCACATATTAACTTCTGAAGAGCCACAGGTTGGCCACCTCTACAGTAGAGGGCTTAAGCTCCAGAGGTCCCAGGTTCAATCCTGCTCTCCGACAACCAGGCTCTGTCAGCAACAAGTGAGGGCTTGTCTGGGATTTCAACTGGGAAGACTCTGAAGCTCGGGATGCACTTCCTCAGCTAGGGGAACTATGTAATCCACACACCTTCTGGGTGTGGTGTTCTGTCCTATCTAGTGGCACTGAGACTACTAAGAGAGAGAGTTAAATAAGTCTCCTTAACAGCCAGTTGGCTTTTGGCTCATGCACTAAGCTTCAGATGTCCCAGGTTCGATCCCATCTGTCAGCGTTACATTTTGATAACACAAATTCTCACCCCTTCCTGCACACAGGAACCAGGCATAATGTTAACACTAAAGCTCACCCATAATATTGTATATCTCAATCTTGCAAAAGGTCCACAAGTGCGGGCCTTGCTTCCATGTGAAGTCCCACTGGACCTGTCACAGAGTTCTCTACTCACCCCTGGGGTGCCTTCTTGTGGCTGCATCTAGGGAACAGCTCCATCGAGTCTGAAACCCCTGTCTGTCATTCACTCACTTTGCAGCCCCTCTCATGCTCCAGGAATTGCAGTGCTCCCTCTTTGGGGCTTGGGCCTCAGACCAAGTCACTATCGTTTTCCCCTCCTGGGGACTCAAAGTCACTGAACTGGTTGACCAGGTATCATTCCTGTCAGTCCCCCAGTTCGAAGTTATGTCCAGTGACTAGTAGGGGAACCGAGGCCCACCCTGTACACTGGGTTCCATCTCAGCAACCCTCAAATTAGTGTTCAAGGTCTGCACTGTTTGAAAACCTTACAGCTGTTTCCCTGATCCTTTTCCTACCACATCTCTATCAGGCTTTCACTCCACCACCCTTCTTCCTTTCTCCCTCTAAGCCCAGAGAAAGACTACAGGCTTGCACAATGCCACCTTTTTCTTCTTCAGTTCTGTGATGTAGCAGACTCACTTTCTGAGTCTATGACACCATGCATTGTACTTCATATCTTGTTCATGACTTACAGTCTCACACCTTTTCCAGTATTCTTAAAGAATTGCAAAAGAGTAGTTTTTTTTTTTTAGTTGGGCCTAGGGTTGCCAACACTCCAGCATTGTCCTGGAGTCTCCAGGAATTAAAGATTAATCTTTAATTAAAGATTGTTATGTGATGAGACCTCCAGGAATATTGCCAACCAAAACTGGCACCCCTAATTGGACCCCATTTTCCACCTCTTTCTGCTCTAAACTTATTGACTTTATACCAGCCCTGCTTATTCCTGTCCAGCTGGGCTCCATGTCAGTGCTTTCCTGTCAAAGATAAACTCTCCCTCAGGTGTGGCCAGGGCCGGCTCCAGGGTTTTTGCTGCCCCAAGCAGAAAAAAGAAAAAAAAAAAAAAAAAAAGCCGTGATCGTGATCTGCTCTACCGCCACGGCTTCAGTCTTTGGCTGCAATTCGGCGGCTGGTCCTTCGCTCCGAGAGGGAGTGAGGGACCTGCTGCTGATTTGCTGCCAAAGAGTCGGATGTGCCGCCCCTCTCCGTTGGCTGCCCCAAGCACCTGCTTGCTGGGCTGGTGCCTGGAGCCGACCCTGGGTGTGGCCTATCTGCTAATTTTGCCCCTCCTAAGCCACACTAACCCTTTCCAGGCTAGTGTGAGGTGAACACCCCATCACAGGGCCATACTTACACAGTCCCTTTTTAGGGCTGGAGCCTTAAATATACTGTTACCACAAGAGGAAATGAAAACTTCTGGATTTCAAGGGCCCTATCTTGCAGTTTCTTGTGATTTTGCTTTCAGCAAATAAGCTTCAGGATTGAAAACCCAGGGGCGTAACCCCTAACTTTGTTAATGGACAGCTGAATCAGCTCCAAAGTTCTCATTTCTAGACCAGAGATTTCCCAACATTTCATACTGTGGACCACATTTTTATAAAGAAATTGTCTCTGGCCTTCACCCCATCCATTCCCGATAGCATTATTCAGTTATGTGGACTACTTCCCACCCATTCTTGCTAACGTAGACACCTCTCAATCGCAAGCGTATGAACCACCTCCTCGCTGCTTCACAATCACATGCACTACCTTCCCCCACCTCCTTCATGGTGCACCATCTCCCCTCCCATTCACAAGGTATGCAGGCCACCTTCCTTCCCATTCACTCTCGCATGGACTACTTCCCAGCATTTTCACGATCCTATAACATTCTAGTGGCAACTACAGCAATTGTTTACAAAAATTAATATTAGGAAAGTATTTAATATGTTTTTAGTTTCAAATGTTTCAGCAGCAGGAAACAGGAAGGTAGAGCTAGCACTATGAGATTGGCCAGCTCTCAAAGGCCACACTGAGAACCTCTGCAACACCCAATTGTTTTCAAAGGGAGTCAGGGTTAGACTGACTCTTATAACAAAATGGTATTGTATTTACAGTAACTTCCCCCACGTGGCAGCATTGCTACTGGGTCACAAAGTGACTTGGGCCATTACCACAGAATATGCAATGCCAGCTGAAGTGGAGCAGGGCAATGGGGATGGTGCTATTGCCATGCAAGGCCGACCAGGGCAGTGCCATTTGTGTCAATGCTATGCAAGATGGAGCTGGGTAGTGCCACTTGGGCTGAGGCTGTGCATGTCAGAGCAGAGTGTCACCACATGAGGTGCCACTAGCGCCAACACCATAGAGGTGGAGCAGGGTGGTGCCATTGGCACCAACGCCACATGAGCTGGAACAGGGCGGTGCCACCGGTACCAATGCCACACGAAGCAGAGCAGGCTGGTGCCACTGGTGCGAATGCCACGTGAGGTGACGAGGGTGCTGCCACTAGCGCCAATGCCATAGAGGCAGAGCAGGGCAGTGCTGCCAATGCCATGGAGGTGGCGCAGGGCGGTGCTGTTGGTGCCAGTGCCACACGAGATGGAGCAAGGTGGTGTGAATGCCACATGAGGTGGCGCAGGGCGGTGCTGCTGGTGCACGCCAGGAGCCCGACACCTGGGCTGCGTGGCTGCTGGGCTGGGTGCGCCTGTGGCTGAGGGGCTGGGTTTGGTGGGTGAGCTCAGCAGCCCCAAGCCTGGACTGACACACGGGGAAGCTGATTGGTGCCACCCTCCCCCCAGGCTGCGCTCAGTCCCTGCGGAGGCCTCTCCCCCCATCCTCGCCAGGGCCAGGCCCCCTAGCAACAAGCAGCCGGCGCCGGCCGCCCAGCCCGGCATCAGGCCAGGGGGCGGGTTCTTCCGGTTCAAGTCGGAGCGGAGGAAGCCGGGCGGCCATCTTGGATCCTCCATCCCGGAGCGGGCGGCGCTGAGCGGCTGAGTGGGGGCGGGGGCTGCAGGCTGCCGGAGCCGGCCCGCGGGGCTCCTGACACCCGGCTCGGAAGGCGCAGGGGAGCCCGGGCCAGCCGGGTAGCAGCGGCGGGTGGGGGAGGCCCAGCATGCGAGCGGAGGCCCGGTGAAGCGGGGCTGGGGGGAGAGGCGAGGACAAGGGAGAGGGAAGCGCTTCGGAGCGGGCCTGCCTGGCTGCCAGTGCTCGGAGCTGGCTGCGGAGAGGCGGCTTGTTTTCCTGGCCGGGCTCTGCAGCGCCCCGCTGCCTTCTCCGACCCGCTTCCTCGCCCCCCTCAGCCCGCTGCGCTCAGCGAGGATCCCCCCACCATCCTCCTCACCCCTCTGCGCGCTGGGCTCCTAAGCTGGCTGTAGGATGAGCCCTGAGGACTCCCAGCGGGAGACGCTGCTCCATCGCCAGGCTGGAATATAGCTCAGAAGTGGGGTGGCGGCGGTGGAAATAAGGAGCCCCCCCACCCCCTCCCTTAATGGTGGCCCTTCGTAGCCACTGCCTCGCAGCAGAGTGACACGCATCCTTTGGGGGGGTGGTAGGTTTTTGTTGGGGAAGGGGTGTTTTGTTTTGCTGTCGCAAGCAGCCGGTGCTCCAGCACAAGCGAATTAAAATGTCCACTAGAACTCCATTGCCTACGGTGAATGAACGCGACACTGAGAATGTAAGTAACCTGGGAGCGCCGGCTGGGCTGTCTGGGGAGTGAGTGGGCGCTGGGGTGGCCGGATCTGCCTGTCACCTAAGGAACGTGTGTGCTGAAGTGCTTTGGGGGCTGTGTCGCTCGTGTGGCTGAATGTGACTGCTATACACAAAGGATGGCATGCGTAGAGAGGTGTGGGTGTATTGTGTCCAGACACAAAAATGTCTCAGAAGAAAAACTGCCAGAGAGAAATGTGCATTTGTTTTAGCCGATGTTGGCCCTCTCTATGCCAATATAAAACCCATAGGTGTAATTTGAATGCAAGACACTGTACAGAATCAAACTGTGTAATTTAAAATCCCCAAAGTGGAGCCTGCATCGTGGGTAAATATTATGTTCCTACTGTTGTGACACTGGTTCAAGGCACTGTCCTGGCAGCTGGATGCTGTTAAACAGATGTTTTACAGGTGTGTGAAGAGTCTTGTTATTGTGAGTGCTGTCATTGAGGTCTTATGCCTACTTATTTTATTACTTAAATTACGGTTTAACTAAGTGTTTCTCAAGAGCTTGGTTTGCTGATGATAGTGTTAAAAAAAATGACAAACCCTGTAATGTTTAATGATGTATCGTATACAGTGCAAATACAGTACTGTCTCATATATTAGTGATGCAGAATTTGGGAAAAATAATCCATCTGCCCTGATGTTTGTAAATTGAAGTGTAAAATAATCGTTAAAACAAGCCAATAAAGCACTAGTAAACAGGTTGCAGAGAACAATCCTGTTTTGGCAGGGGAGGACTGGGTGACCTAGATAAGTCTTTCCATCTCTAATTTGTGTGATTATTAATGACTAGAATAATAGCTTTATTGTCACCTGTTCAAATGATATTGAAAAGTCCCCTTTTCTGAAATTAGCAGCAAAGACAGAAAGTCCTCCCTCTGTTGAAGGGTAGCATTTGACAGTGAATGCTAAACGTTGTAAATAAAACTGCATGTTTTTATTAGGCAACAGTAATATTGTTAGCATTTTATCTGAAATATTTTTAATATGCAAATAAATTGTATGTAGAAACCTAATATCAAAAATCAAACTCAGTGAGACAAACCCTCTCTAAGTAGGAACCTTATTTGCTTAAAGTTGAGACAAAACTTATTTGACCTCAGAATAATCAATCTGAAAGGAAAAATTATTAGGAAAAAAAGGGCCGTTTTATGTGAGACGGTATGCAGATGAGTTGTAGTTTATATTGCTCTGAAGCACAAATAAGCAAAATCAGTGAGCATTATTTATATTTCTTTCATTATGAATATAACCCGGTGTCCTTTAGAAACCATATGCTGGGTCTGAGTGAAAGTGATTAGGGAGAGATGTACCTGATTTTGGACTGAAATAAGGAAAAGGAAGATTTAGGCTGAATATTAAGAAAAACTGCTAGATTTGTTAGAGAGCAAGTAGTCTTCTAAGGGAATTGGTAGAAGCCCTATTGCTTGAGACATTTTAAAACAAGACCAGACAAAGCATTAGAAAACATGCTGCATAAAACAGTCACTGCATTAGCAGGATTTGGATTTTATTGACATAAGTCATTTCTCACTTCTATGATCTTTTTTTTTTTCAGTTTAGCCCTTGGTACAGCCTGCAGGCTAAGGGCTGTATTGAGCAAAAAGTCAGCTAAGCATATTTTGTTGCAGAATCTCAATGGGCTTCAGCCTAAGGGCCAATGCTGCCCTGTGGAAGAAAAGCATAAAAAATTAAAATTATAGTGGCCTTTTGTATTCAGCTGAACTTCCAAATGGCCTAAAGATTCCCCTGTAATGTTTTGGCCAGTCGTTGTGCTCCTAGCTGTGTTGGATCAAGGTTTTTAAACTCCAGTTTGGCCTTATCCTGATCAACCAGTCAAACCACTTTAGAAATTGTTTAAAACTGGTTCTATAATTTGGTTTAAATCCTAGTTTAATACTTTGAAAACATGTTATTTGACATTTGGGGCTAGAGTTGAAGTTTCTTCCATGGAGAATATTTCATTCTGGTTTCAAAATATAGAACAAACTCCTTAGTAATTTTCTTAATTATTGTACAGTGCTTGTCTTCATTGCTTGCAGACATGTCACTTTATACTCTGATCAAGGCAAATTTGCAAGCTAAGCAAAACTGAGCTGGATGACCACTCAGGAATTCCTGTCGTTGGTAGTATTGTGATTCAGTAGGCTAATTCTTCCTTTTTAGTCACTCTGAACCAAAACCCACGTATATAGTACTGTACTGCTTGAGGTGCCGCCTTTCAGGTGTCGTGACCATCAGTGATAAAAACATTTGCTCTGGGATCTTTAATGTAAAGTGGTGTTCTGGCCAAATTTCAACTCTGGTATTTACATTCTTTCTGCCTAACTTACCTCTAAATTCAGTTGGATGCAAAATTAATTTTATTCCTATTTTAATTCTAAAATACCGTATCATTCACTCCTAGTCTAACTGTTCTTCCACCTCAAAGATGGTTGTATTTTATTGGAAGGTAAAATGAAGCCTTAACTACCTAGATGAGGCTTAATTAGTTAATATTCCTAAAGCACTTTGATCTTTAGATGAAAGGTGCTTAGAAATGCAAAGTATTCAGGGAGCCTTTGGGCCATGGTCATGGGACCCCTTAATGTCTTCTCTATACTAGGAAAATTACCTAGTGCTGATAAAGGATATAGTTTAACCAGTGTTAAGCCTGGTTTAACCGCTTGTGTAGGCAAGGACAAACCACACTCTGAAACCTGTCACATTAAGTGATGTTTCTGAAACTCTGGTTAGTTTCTGAAATGATAGTGAACAAAGTTTCTTTGTCTATGTTCGCAGTTAACCATGTTCAGCAATGGGTAATTTCTGAAGTGTAGACAAGGCCTCATCATCAGTGCTTAATTTTTTTCTGTTCTCTTTTTTTAATTAATAAAAGACAATGTATAGCTCTCTTTGTTACCGAAAAATGCTTCAAAACGTAAACCATTAGACTGGAAAGTTTGTCACAGTGCTTTTCCCTTAAAGCCGTTGGTTATTCATGTTTCCCAGCCAAAAAGGGCTGGCCATTGAGGCTCAAGTATCTGTGGCCAGGAGTCCCTTATTTTTGGTAGGAAAAGGATCAGGGGTGACTCATGTAGGGGAGCTATCTGACTTCCACTGATGGCACTAGGACTGCTGAAGGCTGGCTGGCTGCCTGAAAATCAGCTCTGAGCTACCATTGTAGCTTCTGGCCACAAGGGTGGAGCAGCTCATCTGAGGAACCTGCTAAGCTGAAGGCTGCTGGCCATACCTACTAAGTCTCCTGGTATGTCAGGGAGACTCCCGTTTACCACCAAAAATTACCAACTCCTAATTTAGTAATGTTGTCACCCGCATAAAAAAACTATGTCAAATTAAAAAATTCAGTTATATTACTCAGAATCTTATGCATCAGCTACATATGCGCATCAGCCTGCCCCCCCCCTTAGCCCCTTAAGTCAGTGAGAGACTGATGCACGTATATGGCTGACTCACAAGATTCTGGGTAATGTAGTTCAGGGTCGGTAAGTGGTATTTAAAGTAAGAGGGTGAAACTTCTTCTGCCCCTCCCCCTGCCTCTTCCCTCCCCCACCCCATGTCAGACCCCTGCCCAGGGATGGGTGCCAGTCTGTCATAGCTCTGATGCACCATCTCTTTCCTGGGTATAATGACAGCCTCTATATGGCCAGGGCGCTGTGGCCTGGGTATGTGTGTCCCCAGTCATTGGGAGAGCCCCAGGCCTGGATGGGGTTCATTGGTCAAGTGTCCAAGGGGCCGGGCTATGTCAGCATTCCCAGTGGTGGTAGATCTTTTGGCTCAAGATGGAAATCCTTAGAATGAATGAGATTTTAAAAAGCATGAAGAAATGGAAGGGGTGAGATAACTTTCAGGCTAATTAATTTTATTTAATTTATACTTCTGTTTTATTGTATTTCCATTATATAAACTGTATATCTATAAAGGGATGAGGTGACTATTTTGAGCAGTTATTAATTTTGCTAACTACTCTGAATTCTAAAGTTTAAATAATTGGGGAAAAATAACTACAATTTGCCCTTTAGTAATCTTCATGGCCATAGCTAATGTGGGGGACTACCCATTTAAAAAATGTTGAGATGTTGGTAACTATTACTCCTGAGGGCATTCTGTGCCAAAAAATTAAAAATTCTGTGCACAATATTTTAAAATTCTGCAAGTTTTATTTGTTAATAAATAAATGCAGAGGCTCCACATGGCAGTGCGGAGCATAGGCCACTGGCTGCACGAAAGTGGGAGATCACCTTGCAGTTCCCCCACTCCCACCCCATGGACACGGACTTAGCAATGAGGCTGTACCCGACTCTGATACAGCACAAGGCCTGGGTCTGCCCCAGAAATATCTTAGGGCCCTGCCCCTCTGCGCCAGGTACACTAAGTGTGGGGCAGGCAAGCTCAACCAGCAGGATGCAAGTGTGAAGGGCCTCAGTATGGCGGGATCCGGGTGTGGGGTTAGAGAGGTCTCTGTGGGACAATCTGGGTGCTGGCAGCTTAGTGGGGGGTCTAGGTGTGGGGGGATCTGGATGCACAGAGGCTCGTGGAGGGGGAGGGGGTTTCCAGGTGCAGGGGCAATGGGACTCTGCAGGGACTTCCAGGTGAAGGTGGTTGGGGCTCAGTGTAGGGGTCTTGGTGTGGGGGTCTCAGCAGGGGAGTCCGGGTGCTGGGGGAGTGGGGTTTGGTGGGGTGGGGGTCTGGATGCAGCTAGTTGGGGGTAAGTGATGTGGGGGCTCAGGGTGGTGGGGCTCATCAGAGTGGGGGGTTGAGTGCAGGGAGCTCAGTAGGGGGTGGTCTGGGGTTCAGGGGTGAGGGTCTGGAGGCAGGGGGGCTGGGTGAGGGGGGCTCCAGATGCAGGAGTTGAGGTTCGGTGGGGTGGGGTTTGGGTATAGAATGCTAGGGGGGTTCTGGGTGTATGGGGTGAGGCTTGGCAGGGGTGTCTGGGTATGGAAGGTCCGGATGCATGGAGGT